TGGACCGAACCAAGGTACAGGCGTTCCCGCCATCGAGAACACCGATGGCTTGGCTTGGGACATTGCTGCGTACAACGCGTCTGTGCCGCTGGGAGGCTCATTCGACGGCCAGATCCCGAATTGGGGCACCGGCACCCTTCTAGCAGCGGTCACTGGACTCGCTGTCAACTCGACCATCGTACAACGGCTGGATCAACTGGCTCCTGATCCCGGGAGTTTGCCGGGTGACCTGTCACTCAATCGCACGCAGGTCACACTTTCGGCGGAAAGCTTGACGGATGTCACTGACCAGGTCACTGCGGATGGGCATCTGAGGGTGGACTTCTCGACGACGAATGCCACGGGCATCGAGCATACTCTCTTTGCCGTCTACCTGTTCCACACAGACTACCGCGCTCAAGATGGCCCTCTAGATCTGGGCGGACCTCAAACGGCTCCCGCAACCTGGCTGCAGAACGGTAGCTGGTCGGTCGATCATTTCTCCTCGCTGGGAGCGAAGGTCATCACCGACTTCTGGGATCAGCACGTCTTATCCAACAGCACCAAGGAATCGTTGAAGGCTGTTGGCAACTACGCCTGGGAAGACTCCGTGGAGATCGAGGCCAACGTCTTCTGGACGCAAAACCTTTCTGCCGCGTTTCAAGCCGATCACGGCTACTCCATCAAAAAATGGCTTCCCATCCTTTTCCACAGGAACGGACACTATGAGAACGCCAACCCGACCGTGTGGTGGGTCACAGATGAGGATGATGCTGGGAACGGCCATCTCGCGGACTATCGTGCGACCTTGGGCAAAGGCTATCGGGCCTATCTCACCACCCTGAACGAGTGGGCCGAGCGATTCCTGCGTGGCTTCAGTGCGCAGATATCATACAATATGCCGATGGACATGCTCTCCAACATCCCCGACGTCACGGCGCCGGAGTGTGAGTCGCTAGACTTCAGCGACCTAATCGACGGCTACCGCCAATACGCTGGCCCTGCGCATCTCGCAGGACGGCAGATCGTCTCATCCGAATGCGGCGCGGTCAGAGGAGAGGGCTTCGTGCAGACACTACCCGAGCTGTTGTGGCATGTCAAGCGCTCGTACGCTGGCGGCATCAACCAATTCGTCTTCCACGGGTATCCTTATTCTGGAGAATACGGCAACACTACTTGGCCCGTCTTCACCACCTTCAATTACCAATACTCCAACATGCACGGGCCCAGCCAGCCAGCATGGGCGGACTACAGTGATCAGATGGACTATGTCGCGCGCAACAATTACGTCCTGCAGGCTGGCGTGCCAAAAGTGGATATCGCATTCTGGCAGAAGGTCACGACCTACCCGGGGCATATCCAGCTGCGGACGTACGAGCCGACGGATCTCGAGGAGCAGGGCTACAGCTATGAGTATCTCAGCCCGGACAACTTTGATCTGCCGTCTGCAAAAGTGGTCGATGGCATGCTGGCTCCGGATGCTCAAGCCTTCCGGGCTCTCGTAGTCCGGGCCAATGACTCGCTGACCGTAGACGGGGTTCAGCGCCTGGTCAATTTCGCTCGTGCCGGATTACCGATTATCCTGGCGGGAGGCGTGCCATCCACCTACCTTGACACACATACACGGAACGCCATGGACACTCGCAGGTCGAAGCGAAGCCTGGAAGAGATCTCTACCCTTCCCAACGTCCATGTAACGGTCTCTTATCTTGTAGCTGCCACCTTAGTCTCCATCGGAATCATTCCACGGACCAGAATCAAGTCTCTGGCTCCAGCGAATGCGACCGTCTTCACCACCTGGCGACATGACAGTGCTGCGAACATCGACTTCGTCTTCGTGTACAACGACGCTATGTACCTACCTCAAGGCGAGGGAGCCGTGGAAGTCCTCATCGAGTTCCAATCTACTGGTGCACCTGTGGAGTACAGTGCTTGGACCGGCGAGCAAAGACCTCTCGCGGCTTACAGTACGACCAGCAACAGCACCATCATTCCAATCAGTCTGGCGGGCAACCAGTCGACCATCATCGGCTTCCACTGTGCGGAGAACAGCACCAGTACGGCGCATGTCGCACAACTGCCGAGCGACACCGTCGGGTTCTCGCATGCAGCAAATGGATCACTCATGCTGAAGCTCGCCTCCAGCTCGGCGGCTGTCACCCTCGCCAATTGGACGCTCATCGCCGAGTCATGGTCGCCACCCTCCAATCTCTACAACGTCACCGGCACCGTGAAGACCAACACGACCCACCTGCTTCCGCAGCTCGTCTCCTGGCAGCAAATCCCCGGCCTCCAGAACGCCAGCGGACGGGGGTACTACAGCACCACCTTTGACTGGCCCGCCGACTCGTCCGCGGCGGGAGCAGTCCTCGACTTCGGTTGGGTGTACCACACGCTTCGCGCCTCACTCAATGGCCACGCATTGCCTCCTCTGGATGTCACAGCGCCAAAGGTCGACATTGGAGCGTACCTGGAGGATGGGGAGAACAGGCTGGAGGCCGTGGTTGCGACACCGCTCGGTAACGTCATGATCCCGATCTGGTATCAGCTACACACGTCTGGAGAAGGGCCAAGCAGTCCCGACGCGAGTACAGTACCACCGCCGGTCGGGCAATACGGGCTGCAGGTGGATATCACGGTGACACCATACAGAGAGGAGGTGGTAAATTAGTGTGGAACGCTTGTTGCTGAATTTATGGGGGTCAAAGAAGTGCCGTCGCCTGATATCTGCTGGACCAGCAAAAGGTGAATGATTGCATCTTGTCGTTACTCTGACCTATAAACTGTGGAACAAGCAAAAATCCGATGCAATGCATCTTCATGTGAACCGTACCCGATTCGAACGGGTGACCATCTGGACTGGAATCAGATACGCTACCACTGCGCCAACGGTCCAT